AAAGCTTGAGAAATTCCTCACTGATTTCTATAGGATTTAGTCACTTAACCTGCTTAAAATCTTTTGAACATTTTGTTAGGTACCTACAAACAACATGAAGTCTGACCTTCCATAACACTTCATATTTTTGTCACATTCATTTTCATAGATCTCTTCAGGCCAAAGATGCGTAGGCAGAATGTTGTTGAACAAATAATAATGTTTGCTTGTGAGAGGCTACGCAGGAAACTCCTGTGGGCCAAAAATATCCTGTATTTAATGGATTGTTCAATCTTTGAACAGATTATGCCCAAATATTTCTCTACTGTTTCTTAAAAATCACTCTGATACATTGCTTATTGTACTGACTCTTCATATTTTCGCGAGAAGCTGTACGTGTTTAAATAACAATGTAATACCTAACAATCTGTTCATTCTGCAAGTCTACATAAACCATCAGTTGGCATCCAGCAAATTCCAAACTGAAACAGAAGCTTTGGGTGATTTTTTTTCTTGCTTGGAATTTCTGGCGAGGTACAGAAGACTATTCCCATATGGTCCTGCAGTTGCCTATAAAAAATTGCTATCGACAGCTAAAGCTAAAATTTCTAATTTTTTTATAACACTTAAGAAATTGCATTACAAAAAAATACATTGCATGCACTTTTTTTTTCCATTGTCAACCAAACATTTCAGGGATTTGTATCTCCTGATTTACTTATGACCTTGTCTCACCTTGTGCTGCGGAACACCCACCAATGCTTGTCTCTTCGGCCAACTCTGCAGTGGTCCGATACAAAAATAATACACTACATCACCACAGTTTTTACCTGTTGATACTATACAATTCTCTGTCAAATTCACATTGAAAACAATTGCTTTGTGCAGTGCCTGCTGGGGTTTGCTCACTGCAAACATGTCACTAGCAAAATACATCAAACCCTTGACAATGAATAGCATTTCTCAAAACTTAAAACCACTGAGCCATATCTTAGCTGATATAAATTGGCTTAGATCCCCCTGAAGTCAGAAGTGCTGTGCCAGTATGCCTAGGCTGTAGGACTGACCCAGTCATTAGCTGTCATCTAGCGAAGGTACCATCCTGTGTTGCTTTGCTTTTAATCTGATGTCAAAGATACTCTTTTTCCAGGGTAGAAAGCCTGGAATTTTTAAATATACTACTAAATAAGTTTTAAAAGTCTGCAGTACCTTTTCAAAGCAGCGGGTGGCACTTGCAGAGCAACAATGTTCTGTGTTTTAGCTGTGTTTTTGCTGTGTTTTACAACAGTTAGAGTGGTTTATTGCTTTGTCATTGTCGCTTTGGACAAATGAGATTTCATAGGATGTAGCATTCAGATCAAGTTCACACTGCCAGGACAGAGTCCCTTTGTCTGCCTGAGGTCTGTCCTGCCAGCAGCAGCGGTGCAGGGTGCCAGGGCTTGCAGATGAAGCGTCACACCAGCAGATATCCTAATTTTGTGTCTGTGGGCACATCTGTGTAAATAAACTCAAAGGAATGTGGGAACCAAGACCTGAGCTTTATTTGTGGTGTTGTAGGAGCACATGCCTTACATCTAAAACCTTTTCATCCAGGAAATATTATCGGTAATTTGCTGACCTGTCACAGCTGTTCCTTACAGATTAAAGTAACCTGCAGGAGTTCTTTAAAATGTGTTGCTGGAAACACATTTAACAGTAATCGGATGCTGCTAGGTGATTTCAGGACAGTGTCTTGTGCTAAAAAATAGTGCTCTGTAGCAGAAAGCTATATGGCACTGTTATTTCTGCACTGAGTGTACTTAGAGGCTGCATAAAGAAGTAAATAAATAAATAATGACTATTAAAGATACACTGAGGGTGTCCTCACAGTACATCACAATCTGTAATAAAAAAACCCAGCAGGCTAAACAGATACACCCCAAAATAACCTCAGCAGAGTATACTGTACTTATTTAATTCCACATCATCTGTTGAAGTAGTGTCTTTTGTACATTAACATTGCTAATAATTTCCTCTCCAACATTCAAGAACTCGGCAGGTATCACAAGTTTTAATTGCCAACCTCCATCTACACCAGCATGTGGCATCTAGACATAATTAAACAAAATACTGATCATCACCCCCATTTTCTGTTTGTATAGTTCCATCGCATTTGCCTGGTGTGCTATGAAAATTAGGAAAATTAAATGGAAAGCAGTTTGGTTTATCTAATATAGAAATAAGGACACATATTTTAAAAATCTATAGCAATGTCTGATTTTCTTCAACACGCATATTGACATATGCATGTTGCTGTTTGACTGACTGCTGATTCCTTTAAATATGAGAAACAGATCAATTGTGCCTATCTAAAACCATTATCTTGTATTGCTTCTTCTGGATATTTTAGATTTCAGATAAATTCACCAGGGTTCTGCTGAAGCAAGGACTCCTAAGTCCTGAAGAGCAACGAAGACCAGCATCTTCAGAAACCATGATCCTTGGAAGTGCCTGGGTTGCATTATCAGTTCCGTTTAGGACCACTGAGATCCCTAGGCACCAAAATATAGGAACTTGTATATTCTCATGTATTCCTGGGAAGCTCTAAATACGTCTGTACAAGCACTCAGCCTCCTTGTAAAGTCTTTGAAAAGAAGTCGACTCCTTGCTCCTGCTTTCCCAGGGCACGTTCCTGTGTTGACAGCCTGGGCGAGTTTCCCTGCTTGGGCCACACTTAATGCCGAGGTGGTTTGGCACCTGTTTTAAACACCTAATAGCAGTGGCCTGTGCCATATAGGCAGCCGTAGACAATTTCAGGAAAAGTTATTTGCCTCAGTGTTTTTCCTGAAATCAGATCAGCAAAAACTGGAAATTTAAAAGAAAAATAATGCTTTCTGTGTTTGAAATCTTTTCAATTTCTAAGATGTTAACACACAAAGAATTATTATTAGAAATAAGTGGACATGACGCATTAGTAGGCAGCACACTTTTTTCCCCCTGATGTTTGATGTAGTTGCAATTATTCTAAAGCAATTATTTATAACAGGACAAAACAACTGAAAAAAGCTGTTTTCCACCTTTCCACCATAAGTTTGATGTTCCTAGTTGAGCCCCCAAAAAATCATTAGCTGACACCTTGCAAAAGGATAGATACTCCTGTGGTTTGGAGGGTGCTTTCCACAATCCCGATATGGGGAAAAATCAATTATCTGGGATTCCAGTTACTAATCACTGACATTAGAAGAAAAAGATGTGAGAATGGTGCCATTGCTTTCACCATTGTCAGTTATATCTAAATCCAAAGTAAGGTTCCATGCTGATAAATCCTCTAAACCTGTGCTGAGGTACTGCAAGTGAGTTAAAACCTACACAAATACGTTTCCATATATGAAGTATTTACCCCTACACAATATTTAATATAATGGTATATCTCATACTGTGATTTTCAGTTTATTTTGATGTTAACCATGTCGAGGCAATGGAACAATTTTTTTATATATATATTCAAATATTCAGTAATTCGGTTACTATTTTTTTAACCTTACCTGAAATTCCAGTACCTTATTTTCCAAACTACATTCTGAAGTGTTGCATGCTTTATTTCAGTTTGCAAGTTGCAGTTTTTTTAAGGAACCCACAGAATCTCAAAATAGTGGTGTTTTCAAATCATCTATGTTCTTACTTCCACAGCCTGTACAGAGATGGGTTAGGACTTGAGAAAGGTTAAAGGGGCCACACTTGAAAAGGCAAGCCTTAGGAAAGAGGTTGTAGCTTGCTGTTACAGGTGTGGCTTAAAAAGCAGTAGCCGTTTTATTAAGGACAGCCAGTATAATTAACAAGTTTTAAGGTATTTTCTAGGCTTCTATTTTTCTCCAAAGACATCTTACTGTGAATGAGTCAATCTGAGTCTTGAGAGAAGTTCTAGCAAAATTGTTTGTCAAGTGACTCTGGATTTGAGGTAGTGTTTTAGAAATCTATTACTTATATCCTTAGGTCGGACACAGATCAATTAAACAAATCCAATATTTATAATAAGTAGTTTTAAAGAAATGTGCTTAAAGATTCCATTTCAGAGCAATCAAAAACAGGGCACATCTTGCTAGGAGCTGCCAAATCTCTCTCAACTCTTTGCTCCAAGATAACAATCTCCAAACAGTTGACAGAGTTAAGTCTTACAAGGTGCCTGCCAGAGGCTCTCTGTTGATCACAGGTGCAATTCCTCAGCTAAATTCTTCAGGTGTGATTCGTTCTTTGATTTGCCATGTTTGTTACTACTTGGGTAGGAGCTAAGTGCTTGTTTTTTCTTGTATCTCAGTCCCTCGTTTAATGTCCAGTAAGTCCTGTTCACAAGAATATGCCTAAAACACTGTTCATGACCAGAGGCAAGCGCAAATACATTTTGCTCACCATGTTTTTTTGTTCTACGTTGAGGGAAAAAAGGAAAAGTAAAAAAAGTGATAGTGAAAAGGGCAAGGACAAGAACAGGCAGGCAGGCCTGGTTTCAGGAAAAACAGGAGATATGCTTTCACCTCACCTAACTCTAGGCGCTGAAATGAGACATCTAAGCTTTGTTATCTGACTCTCCTGTATAGTCAAGGTGTCTCCAGAGTATGAGCCAGCCCAGTCAAAATCCAAAGTGGAGGAGGAGTAGCAAGGATCAAGACAAAGGTGTGACTTGGCCAACCAAGGAAGAAAAGAAATCTGTAACAAAGGGAATAATGTTAGTGCTGGACAACAAAACTACCTGCTTCTTTGCACCGAGAACTAGCTAAGGAATGGGATGGGGAGACCAAATGCTGTAAGATAAGACAAGGATCTTACATATTTCTCAAGGAATTTGTTCTATGTTTTGATCTTTTCCACCACCCTTTTCCTGGAAGAGGACACTTCTGCCACAGACTGTGAAAAACAGCTTTATTACAGAGAACATTATGGGTTTAATTCTGCATATACTCAGCACCATAGTGTTTCATTAGTCTATCAAATACATGGTACATTTTACAGCGATTAAAAAATACAGTGTCTTTTTCTTAATTTTGTAGCTCCGTAAATCTGTTTTCAGCATCAGAGCAAGAAATCTTCTGGAAAAAGAGACAGCAATCAATAAAATCCTAAGGTAAGAGTCAACAGTGATTTGATACTGTTTTGACTGTCATCTGATTTCTCATAACCTTGTTTTTCATGAATGTTACTGTATGTATGATATTTATGATTGCATATCCCTTTATAGTACGTCTATTACCTTAATTATCAAAGATAAATTGCTCTTTTCTCTGGATATATTATGTGCTTGAACAGCAACAAGAGAGAAACTGTGCTTCTTCAGTATGTATTTGAATTCTGTGTCATGTAGAAGGATCGTATTTCAGCTCTTTTCATGTCTTCCTTCTAAATTAACCAAAAAATGTCTCTTCGTAAGTGGTGTTATTTTGCCTAAAGAATTCCAGCCTAGTTCTCGCATATATATACACATAACCATTCACAGGGGTTGTAAACTAGAAAGCACAGACTACAGCTAACCATATTCCAAGTAGGAAATGTACAATTAAGAAGACTTCAGAACCCAGACTTCTGTAGAAGGGTTTCCTGGATGTTTTTGTAATGATGACTCATTTTGGTATCCCAGATCAAGTAAGTACTCAGGGCCATAAGTGATGCACTCCTAAGTCTCCAAGACCAATGTCTGAAGTTACCGTGTGGGTAACGCCATGCTGCAGTTCTTCATGCCGCTATTGATTTTACATTAGAGTTACTATCAGTGATATGAGGTGCATTAGCAAAGCCTGCATACATCAGGAGATCATTCTTTTTTTGAGGTTTACATTCTCACCAAAGTGGGTACATCTCCAGAATATTGTGAATGACCGGTCCCAAGTAAATAAGCAGTAGAAACAGGAATAACTGATCGGGGAAGTACAGCCATGGGATTAGATTAGGTACGGCAGTGTTTTATGAGGAGCAGTGCAGCAGGAATTCAGTGTGATTTCTCAGTTGTGAAGTTTTGTGAAAAGTGCCTAGTAATTACATGCCATTTGAGAAATCTTTCATCTCTAGTTCTTTTTAATACTCTCTAAGAATACAGCACAGGGAGAAATGTAGAAATTAATGTGCAACTTTATCTGTCTTTAAACCCACGGTAATGAAAACATGAACAATTACTAATTCAAATGAATGCTCTTTGTCAAAATGTTACTGAGAAATGTAACTACAAGACCATAAGTATTCCATTTTAACAAAACTTAGGTCTCCATTTGTAAGCATTTCTTTCGGTTATGTGAATGTACCTTGATTTTACAGGCATTGCCGTTACAGATAGATAAGTACAAGTCCCTTTGTCCTAATCAAAAACCTTTTAAAAAAATGGATTTAGGTACAGGCTTCATGGCAGTGTTTCAGTAAAACATTTGTAATGAAATTCTATGTTATACTACAACTGTGAAATGTTGTTGACACCTCTAGGGTTACACAAACGTCAGTTTGTTTGGCATGTTTCTCATACTGTACCACAGAGAAAACAAAGACAAAGAGAATATCCTACTGGTTTATATTTTTAAAATGTTAAAAAATGGTGACATCTGTAGGGGCTACATTCATTCTTATGCAGAAGAAAAAATGAAGTCCTGCAAATTGAAAGTCAGAATTCTGATGAATTCTTCAGTCAACACCGAACTTTCTCCTTTTCAGGAGAAGTCTGAGACAGAGTGGAAGGAGAATCCAAGCAAACCATTGTTTGGACTTCAGTATGTTCTCAGAGGCAGCAGGACAGAATCAGACATCAGTCCTTCCAATTTCAATCCTGCTGACTTGGTCCTTTAGAGCACAACTTCTGCTGAAATTTTGTATCTTGGAGGACTACTCATCCTTTCACCTCTGAATTCCTCTGAAGATAAACTTTGCAGGCAGAAAAAGTTTTAGTCTATTAATCTATTACTTTAATTAATCTGTTAATTTAATGTACATTTGTTGTGCTTTCTTATCTACTTCCTGGGTCATCATTGATGAACTTTTGAGGAACACAGAGAAAGGGAGGGATCTTCTGTCAAGTAGCAGAATGTGGGCTTATTTGTTTTCTAATGCTTTTTAGGAATGCTCATAAGTCATTTACAAAGAGGCAGTCTTTAATCTCCTCCTGAGAAAAAGGAACAAATACTCTTTATTGTTCCTTGTTACTGCCCAAAAATTTTTATGTAAGATCTGAACTGTGACATCTCCAGTGCCTCTGTTCCAGCATAAGAAAATTGTGTGCATGGTGTGTCTGGTGGGCGTGCCAGTAGGGAGCATTGCCAGTGATGGGCCTGCTGGCCCTGAGCGCTGCCAGTATTTCCGTGTTGATGCCAGTGTTGCCAGTGTTGATGGAGAGGAGTTTTACAAACAGAAGAAGAAGTTATAAGAAAGGATGACATTTACGGCTGAAACTTCGGATTCAGTTCAAGGAACACTGGAAAGCTCAAATTCAGAAGACACGAGAGAGTCTTTTTCTTATTTTTACTTTAGTTGTAAATGCTGTATACTCCTTGATAAAAGTAGCTGAGTCTCAGCTATTCAAAGTATCTGACAAAAGAAGAAATGGTGTTTATGCTAAGAACAATAAGAGGTAACTTAGGATATCCCTTCTGAAAAGATTCCTTATAGCGCCTTTTTAATTTTTATCTACCAAAATTGAGGAGCTTTTATCTAAAACAGTGCCTCTACACAGTAAAGCTGCCCGTGGGCAATTTCAACTTGATGAAATTGCCATACTGAAAACAGAATTTTAAATCTGTTTTAGCTTAAGTCCACCTCTTACCTTTTTCCCCTGACTTTTTAAACCTTGTCAAATAATAATTTACTCCAATTCTGAATGTTTCAAGATAGCCATAGAGAATGTTTCTTCATAGAAGGAGTATGCATTACACACAGGTACCTTTATGTGTCTTTCGCATCTTCCTCTATCCATACCTTGTTTTTCCTTTTGTATACTGAACTGCATCTTGACATCTTCTTCCCCAAGAGGAGGAAGAAGGGCATAAACAGCCCTTCACCACCCAGAGAGACAGTTCATACATGCAATCCTAGGTTTCTCACCTGCTGATCTAATGTTACATTATGCAGCAAAACAGAGGTCTCGGGCCTCTTCATTTTCCTGCAACTTTCCTACTGCACTCAAGGGAAACCACCTATTTTCTGAAGATCCTTGCTTGGAAACCGACCTTCACCTTGCCCCCTTGAGGTCTTGGTGCAGTTAATTCTGGGAACAGAGTCAAAGATGTAGCAGCTACTGTCTTGGGCACTTTGACTGTGACCAGTGATTTGTATCATCACCCCTGCCAGTGTTAGAACACAGAGTGGCTGAATCCTTCACAGAAATCCATTGTGAGGTGGGGACTTCACCCTTCTGAGGAAGATGAAATGAGATAAAAGTGAGTTACAGATAGTTAAAACAACTTTTTCAAAACGCAATCACATTTAGTAGTGCCTCTGAATTACAAACAGCTCCATTTCTTTCTGAAAATTATGATGCATTTCCCTCAGCAGCAATAACCATGGCTTCTAGCAAATTTCACCGTTCCCGCGTATCTTCAGTGTTTCCCACTTTTGTCTCACTCTCTCTTGCCATGGGCACTGCCTTTCGTCTGAAAAGCAAGTTTTGTGCCTGTGGTTCTTCTGACCCTCATTTCTTGCAGGATCATTCTCTAAGAATGGGTGTCTAGTCGTTTATTAGTCCCGCTGGCTTTCTGAAGTAGAGAAGGTGGATAAGGTCCAGTCAAAATGCTGTGTATAAGCCAGTGCATTCTCTCCAGTGCTGAGGATAAATTGTAAACAGCACAGAATGGTGGGGAAACTGAGCAAATTAGAAGTAGTCTCACATAGTCCAAAATACAATCAAAGTATCAGTAGTGCAGAACCTTATTCTGGTCTCTGTTAAATCATGCTTCACTGAATCACAGAATGGCTGAGGTTGGAAGGGACAGAGCTCTGGATGTCATCTGGTCCAGCCCACCTGCTCAAGCAGGGCCACCTAGAGCAGGTTGCCCAGGACCACGCCCAGACAGCTTTTGAATATCTCCAAGGATGGAGACTCCACAACCTCCCTGGGTAACCTGTGCCAGTGACTGGTCCTCCTCACAAAAAGGTTTATGCCCTTATTTTATAAAATACAAGGAATAACTTAGAAGTCCTCTGGTCTGTTGATAAGAAAATCAAACTCACCAAAATCACAAAAATTCTTTTTATTATAAATTATATATTGTGTCATTTTGGGAAACTAGCATTTTTAAAATAGGCATCTTTTTATTTGCTTTTGATTATAGCTGATGCTATAGTCAAACTATAAACTGGTGCTAAGGGTATGCAGAAGGATTTTCACTGTTCCAGTCAAGATTTGTTTGATGCATTTACTGGACCTGATGGAATAACATAGTTCATGCTGAAGTTGAATGTTCAGTTTCATAAACAACTAAATGAGTGAAGTGGATTTATCTAATGGTTGAAACTGAGACTGCCATGATGGCATCTTGGGGGAAAAAAAATAATTGCTTGAATTAAGTATCCATTCTACTAATTTGGTAATATGCTAGGAGATTATTCAGGCTGTCCATACAAGTATTTCTGCAAAATACAGTGGTTTTTTTCTGAATATTAAAATGAGCAAGAAACAAGATTCTCTGTGCTTCTAGGAAAGTTACAAATTTAATCTCTGAATAAACTGTCTCTGGACTCTAATACAGTAGTCTAATACACCGCCTCTCGTAAGAGAATGAGCAGGCATTTTCATTAGTTTGTTTATCACAGGAACATAGAAGTTTTGGTCGAAAGGGATCTTTGGAGGCCATGATGCACAACTGCCCACTTGAAGTACGACTATTGCTAACCCTGGATCAAGTCAGCTTTGCATCTTCCACCTGCTCTGGTTCCAGCACTGCACTACCCTGTCCTTGAGAGAGAGCTTTCCTGAAGCTCAGTTTGAAGCCCCAAGCCACGGTTTCTGGCCATTGCTCACTGCTCTGTCCTGTTGCCATAACAGGAGTTTTGCTTCATGCTGTAACATGCGCTTCATCAAAACAAACAAGCACAGCTCCCTCAAGTCTCCCTAGAGGTCATGTGTTGTAGGCCATTGACCTCTTGTACCTGCTCCTGTGTTTCAGCATCCCTCTTGGAGTACCCAGAACTGTGTTCCAGGTGGAGCCTCTCCAGCTCTGAGTTGAGGAGGGATAACTTCCCTCTATCTGCGGGCTACACTCCTCCTTAATATAGTAGGCAGTTTGCCTTACTGATGGCAGGAACACATTCATCCAGCTAGCATCCAGGTATCTCCATCCCATGCAGACCCAGTGCACAATGTAACTCCCAGATCCTTTTCCTCAGCCAGCCACTCCATGGCCTGCATGAATGCATGGAGCTGTTCTGCACCAGGCGTGAAATTGCACATTTCCTTGTCCAACTTGCTGAAGCTTTTGGTGACTCAGTCCTCAAGTTTATCAGGGTCCTTCTGGTTTAATGCTCTACCGTTCAGTGTGTCAAACACTGCTTTTCACTTGTCCACATCGTTTCATCACAGAAGGCATACCTTTGGTATCCTTTACGAGAAATTTGCCTGCATTAAATAACTGTCTTGTATTATTCAGTTCTACATCACTTACAGCAAGTTTCTCTGTATACATTTTATGTTTTGTCTCTTAAGAGTATGATTTGTTTCTTTATAACTGTGAGGCTTTGATACCACGCATTTCTTAAAACAAATGTTCCAGGTAAGCTCAGTTTATGAGGTGCTGGGCTTTGATACCATCCATTTCTCAGAACAAATATTCGAGTTAAGCTTGGATGATGATTGTTGTCATCGGGAGCAAAATCCAGACTTAGTCACCACCTTCTTAAATCTCCACAAGTGTACAATGTCATTGGATTTCATCTGCCTCCTGCAGAGACAAACAGAAATAAATATTGGAATGCACATATCCATTGGTAAGAAGTTACTCTGTTTTATGGGGTTTGTGCCATGTTGTAGATCATCATAAAGCATTGTTGTGAAGTAGAGTTAATGGGCTTTGGAGTCTCCAACACTGCAGGTATGGAAAAGTAAGTTAGGCAGACGTCAGCCCAGAACAGCGTAGGTATCATTGATCTTGCTTTGAGAGAGGTGGAAGACTGGATGGCCCTTTGACGTTCCTTCTTCTCACAGAATCACAGAATGTTTGGGGTTGGAAGGGACCTCCGTGGGTCATCTAGTCCAACCCCCCTGACGAAGCAGAGTCACCTACAGCAGGCTGCACAGGACTTTGTCCAGGCAGGTCTTGAATATCTCCAGAGAAGGAGACTCCACAGCCTCACTGGGCAGCCTGTTCCAGTGCTCCGTCACCCTCAGAGTGAAGAAGTTCTTCCTCATGTTCAGATGGAACTTCCTCTGCTTCATTTTGTGCCCATTGCCCTTTGTCCTGGTGCTGGGCACCACTGAAAAGAGTTTGGCCCCATCCTCCTGACGCCCACCCTTCAGATATTTGTAAGCATATATTAGGTCCCCTCTCAGCCTTCTCTTCTTCAGGCTGAACAAGCCCAGCTCCCTCAGCCTCTCCTCGTAGGAGAGATGCTCCAGTCCCCTCACCATCCTCGTACCCCATTGATTCTATCAAGTCTTCTGTAATCCAAGGAAAATAATTATTATAGAAACATCTGGTAGAGGAAGAGCTGCAGCAGTTAAATAAGAATGACAATGAGAATACAAAATGACTAAAGGAAAGAAAGTAAGCTACCATAGTTCAACAGACTGAGCAGACACTAAAGAAAACAAATGACTATTTGTTTTGTCCTTTAGAGACATATGGAAGGAAACAAGAAAAAACATGGGAAAGAAAAACCATGAATTATCCAATTTGGATTAATATTTCATTTTATTTTAGCAGCCAATTTCAGATTTCTTCAAAAAATAGTGTATTTTTCCCAAAGAACAGTAGTGTAGCTGTGGTGAAAATGTGCGTTTTGCTTGTTGTTCAAAGAGTGCCTTATTGGATTAAATTTATAGAACGAAAGAGACAAACGTTTCTATCAGGTGGATTCACCATGAATCTTAGGTTGTCACAGTTAACCATATTTTCCAAGTTAGATGGAAATACAATGAGAGCATAGAAAGATTTAGTAAAGATAGTCATCATGAAAACAATGCTGAATGAGATATTGATAACTTGAGTGTTTTACTGAAGCGTGCCACACTGCTAAGACTTCAGTGTGAGCACCTTTTCAGGGAGAACAAGAACAAAAGTATATAGTAATATATGCAGTTAGTGCAGTTACTTCGCAAGTATTCACTCGTTAAATAATACAGAAAAACTACAAATCGGTGTTACAGTGGAATGCAAGAAGATGAGAAAACACTTGTGTGGAAAGGATGCCTCCCTAAAAAGTCCAAGTGGGATCCATATGCATACCCTCTGCAAGAGACCTCAGGATATTCGTGAAGGGTACAGTATTTTGTAGTATCAATCAAAGCACTTAACATTTTGCACTAGCTCAAAGAATATTACTTGAACACTGTTCACTACTCATTTTTCAGGGGTTCCAAAGCATGAAATAGTTTGAACTTCATAGTACCTGCCTTTTTTTTCAAAGTCTCCAGAAATCTGCAACTCTCGGTGTCTAAACACCTGAAAAATATCTGGATCCTGAGTTGAAATGAAGACAAAGCGTGGCTTTTCATAAGAGTTAATACGAGGAAGATTAAGGCGCTATTTCCCAGGAAGTGGAGAATGCTAGGAGAAAGGCTGTCAAAAGTTGCCATGGCCTTTTCAGCACAGCATCTTTTTCTCTGAAAATACAAAAAGTTTATTTGCAGTTCCTTGATAACAATTTCTGATCTCTGTGCTATACAATTGGCATTTCATTATTTCTCTGTTGACTTCAGTAGGAGCTGCAGGGCTTCCAGAGGTATTGAAAATGAGGCAATGGATATAAATTCGAAGTATGGATTTAGGAATCTAACTTGGACAGAGATCATAGACAATCCTAACAATCTTTCTACCAATGTTACCCTTTATGCATCCCCATTCCATATAGTATATGGTTAAGTGTATTTTGTTATACCATTAAGAATCAAATAGCCCATCCCATTCATTGGCCAGGTAAAGAATTTATTGTTTGAGTAGTTAATGTTCTCTTTTATTGTGGACAGTAAGAGTTTACATAACTTGATATTCAAGTAACCTGTGTTCAGGGGCATGAGAAGTTTATGTGTGAATCACTTTTTGGTGTCAAGAAGATCATTTCTAGCTGTTAAAAGCAGAGCACAATAATTCATATTTACAGGAAAAAGGATAGGTTACCCTCTTTGGCACAGCAAGAAGCCTCTGTACAGAAGTCAGACCCCAGAACTTTCCATTGTCTCTGATGGGAAAAACTGGATTGTCATTTTAATGGAGTTAGGTAGGATATATTTTTAGGAAATAATTTTAGCTGAGGTGTTTTTGTAAGAAAATTGCACAGGTATTTGAATGATATGTCTGTTGTCTTCTGACAGTGTTACGTAGTATTATCCTCAATAATACAGTGCTTAAAATCCATTGGTATTAAAATGTTCGTGATTTGGCTAAGATGAGCTGTGTTTTATAAGTTATGCAGTCATTTTCTTAAATGGCGTGATCCTTCAGTTCAGTGTAGTGGAATCTAATGCCCTCTCTAACAAGTGTAGCACAATGTATTTTTCTAGAATGCTAGTCTGATTGTCAGTGATGACACTGACAAGCATGCTAAGTTGCTCATTTTTGTTCCAGATCTCACTTTGGATCTCTACTCCCGTCATTTGTTCTCCAAAAGAAGGAGAAATAGCAGAGAAGAGGGAAAAAACAGAGTAATAATGGGGAAAGAACGTGCCTGGGACACCTTTTGCCATCAAGCGTGATCATCCCATACTGTCAAAAATAGCATTTACCCAAAGCATTACAGTAGACTGGCGAATAGAGTGGTCACTCCAATAGCATGTAGGTTTTTTCATGTTTTCAAAGAAAAAGGACATTCAATTAATTAAAAAGTATGTTACTAGCCGCGTCATGTGTGAGTTTCTCTGAATGACTGCAGAGCACAAAGTGAGCAACAAGGTGTGCACTGTGTAAACATAGAATTGCAGCATTCCTGGACGAAATTCCATTTCTCAGCCATCAGCAGAGTTGTATGAGTTCTTGCAGTGGAAACCTCTGGTTTTTTTAAGCAAATCCTTTTCACTTTGGCCAGCAAAATAAAGATATGCGTGCTCTGTTTAGCTGTAGCACGCTTACTAATCAGCCAATACCAATTTCTGCCAAAATAGTGTAAGATGTGTTTGCCAAAATTCAGGAAAAGCAAAATGAAACAAATGAGCAGAGAAGTGAAAAAACCCACACAACAAGATGCTGCAAGTTCAATGTGTTCCCAGAAAGCAGACATTTCATATTACAGGATATCGGCAATGTGCAGCTTTTCATTTCAAACCATATGTAGTCCCAGTTATGCAGAAGAACACTGAAAGATGCACTGTAAGTCTTGAGTGTGTACATAAATGTTTTGCCACAAACAGCCCTGAAAGGGACCTGCCTAAAATGACAGCTGTACTTGTACTATTCCCCTCTTTATTGCTGAGAAGCTGGTTTTGCTGATGAGTGGTGCATTTCTTGACCCTTTTCACACTTGGTGAAGTCTTGAGAGACCATAAATTATACAGCAAACTGAAAAAAAGTCAAAGATGGGCCTTGCTAAAGCATGGAGAAGGTTCATTAGATGACCAGTGATGTTGCAGAGTGGGGACCATTGCCTTGGAGATACGTTTTCATGGAAAGTCCGTTTTTGTCTTATTGTTATTGTCTGTTAAGCTGTGCCATTGCTTCCCAGAAAGCCAAGCTGACTTGTCTGAATGCGCTACCTCAGAAATTATCATTTATACTGAAAACTCTGTGTCATCATCATTATATTTCTTCGTAGGGCCTGCACTAGACAACGCATGCTGAGTGGATCCTTTGAGGGACAGCCTGCAAAGGAAAGGTCAATACTTAGTGTCCAGCATCATATACGACAAGAACGCAGGTAAACATAGACAGAAAGGATGGTTTAAAAATATTCTTAAAATAAAGATGACAAAAAGAATTAAATTTGAGCAATACCTAACGTGTGAAAAACTGAAATTACTTACTTGTACAGAGAACTGAATTCTACATTCTTCATTGTAACCATAATGAAATCCATTGTACTGTATAAATTGAAAAAAAATGCCTTTTTATTTCAAATGTCATTTCCTTTGCTGACTACAAAGCTATCAATTTAAAGATCAGAAGGAAAGAAATTGGCTTACGTTAGACCGGATTGAAAACAATTGAAGAACATATAAGCTTCTGATGTTAGTGAGAGAAAAATGATAAGAATTCGAGATATTGTGTGGCTAGAGAGCAGTGCTTTATAATGGCCATTCTACAAAGGTCAAAATTTCATCTTGAGATGTATCGTTAAATTGATTATGATTATTTCAGGTCACTGAGGCATGGTTCCAACAGCCAGCGAATCAGCAGAGGAAAATCTCTTGAAACATTGACTCAAGATGTAAGTCCTCATAGAAATGATGGTTTCAATTTGAGAATGTAAGAAATAAGAATATGTACTACATAATGAATGCTTGTGTAGGACTATGTAAGATCTGTGATCTTGTTTACAATATGTCTTCTGAAATCTTGAAATCATAAAACAAATACTGTAATTGTGTTAGAATTATGTCAAAATAATCGAGAACGTTATTTCACTGATAGACTTACTGGTTTTGAAACACTTGCTGAGATGGATTCACTGGAGCTGTAAAGACCACATTAGGAATACAATTGCTACTCAGGACACCTTAAAAAGCCTTACTCTGGAATTACACAAATAACTCAGGCTGTCAAAACAGCACTTCAAAACTTCCCGTGGAAGAGTAACAATATTTTTCAAACATAAGAACTGTCCAACAAAAGGGCAAAGACTAAAAGGGAGAACAGCAATCACAGATTTCACTGTGCTATAGTTTCATGCAGTTGAGTGCATTTTCACTTCTGCGAATTCATAATGACATTTCGTGGATCTCTGTGACTTTCAAAACTGAAAGGGCGATATTAGCTCCTCCATTTCCAAACTATGATAGTCATTTTCTAGATGTGCTTCATGCTTAAAAACATCTGTGTCAGAAGTAATTAATGAATTACCTGGCATGGTGGTAGAAAGAAACTGTAGGTAACTAACATTTTAAAGCAGATGTGGCTTTGCTTGTGTCCAATAGTAAGGGTAACATCCAGCATTATACTTCCAGGAGCGCTCCAAAGACGCACTTAACTCTCCGTAGTAGTACTGATTGTACCCTCCACAGGATGAGCAGCTCTCCTCCCACTGTCTCCCCCATCCCTGCGCTCTGCAGTCCCTGACTGTACGTTCTGCACAGCTCGCTGCGTGGCAGCACATGCAGCAGGCTCGAGAAGCTGAAAGGCGTCTAAAGCCTTTTCTTCCCCGGTCTTTGCCCTGAGTAACTTTGATGGTATTCATTCCAGTTCAGAGAGATTGGCTGAACTTACAAGACCTTTGCTTTTAAAGTTAAAAGTTGCACTGGATGGGACTTCATGCATGAAATTAAAACTGAAATTAACGTTGATGAAAATAAGCAGCCTTGTGCTTCAGATAGAAAATACTGTACAATATGCTTGACTGAGCTGATGTGCAGTGCATTTGGAAATAAGATTTTTCATTTGAATATTTCTATGTAAAATACCATATCTTGCTTTCATCTGAAACATTAAAAAACAACAACCCACAGATCTCATTTAAAAGGAATCATTCTGCTTCTAGCACTCCAACACTGTGAGATACAGAAATGCACAGAGAGAAGACAGTGAGATAAAGATGATCCAAGAAAAAAAAGAACAAGCTGAAATGAAAAGGTATTTAAAAATCAAAAGTCTGAGTGCACACTTTTCTGTGTTAAGTATTCTCTGTATGAAGTAAGAAGCATTGAGAGTCATGATGAAGAAAGAATGAAGTGTAAGGATATTTTTGCTGGGTATAATGCATATCACTTACTAATTTATGTTTCATCTTTCAAAAGGAAAGTCCAGGAAGAGGAGCTGCGAGAGAATCATCCGTATTTTGATAAACCACTTTTCATAGTTGGTCGTGAGCACAGGTTCAGGAATTTCTGCCGAGTGGTGGTACGAGCTCGCTTTAATGCGTAAGTTTATTCCGTATCAACAATTAGTTTCAGCAAGTGTTTACTTTCATGTCCTCAGAAATCTAGGTCTAACTTCTCTATTGAAAGGAAAGCTGCCTATAATGTGGTCGCCACACGAGCTGGCAGTCAGTTGCTTATGGTAGGGTCTTGATGTTGGAGGAAAGGAAGCAATAACATGCTGTGTAAGGGCAGGCATGTTTGAGCAGCCTGCGACGCTGAGATGGGGCAAGACTGTGGGGAAGCAGGCATGAACTGAGAGGAAAGGGTAGTTTTATCCCCCCATTTTTAGACCTTGAGGAATCAGCCTGCTATTCCCTTCCTGTTCCTTCTCCTAAGGCGGGAAGTCTTTATTCGCCAACAGTTACTCAAAGAATAGAAAAAGGTGAAGAGAAATTAATCCCATCTGTGCTCACCCAAAGACTCCTTAGCCCATAATTAGAGACCCAGAATGAGATGAGGAGGTGTTTCAACTGTGCGAGATAAAAGGAGAAAAGCTGGGACCAGGTGAACACCAGGAAGACTCAGTAACTGAATTGTAGGTGTGTGCATGTGGCAGATACCGATCTATGTACAAAGCAGCGTGATACAGAATTATCTTATAGCTCTTCTTTGAAACCTGTGTCCGTAGCTGGCACCCTAATTTTGGAAGGTTAATGCACGTCACCTTGCAAACAGACAACGTGTAAGATAGAAGGTAACTCGAGGCTGTGAGCTTGGCACTTGGAAGATCTGGTTTCAGCACATGCTTTACTATCGATTTTCTCTGTTCTCTGTTTTAGGTAGAACAACAGGAAGGTTAGATACCCAGTTTTACAATACCCATATCTAAGTGTTCTGCCACCTACATAGAAGCACATACTCGAGTTAGGTGCCTGCTTTTCTGTGCAACTGCTAACTTTGTTGCGGTTCGCTGGTCTGTGAAGCAGTTGCAAATTAAAACAGCAAAGCAAAACGCACAAACATGCATTCCCACACAGTTGTCAAATACATGTCAGTGCCTGTTAGCATTGTAGAGTGCCCAAGACGAACAGGGTATTTATATTATAAATAGTTTAATTAAAATTTTTGCAATTATATGTATAAACTGATTTTGTTAAACAGTCATTTTTTCATTTATTTAAAACCTACCTACTTTATTCAGTGTCCCACCCAGCTTGCCAAGTAAGATATTCTAGAGATCTTTTTCAAACTGATAAGGTACATATTTCCTTCTAGTAAAAAAGGTTGAGAAATGCCACTATATACAATATGGAGAAGAGGTATGAACTTAAGAAGACACAAAGTCAGTGGTTTCAGCGGGAAGGCACCAAACCCAGTATATTCTGTATACTGACTGGTATAAGTGGGTGAACCTGGCTTGTGGAAGATGCCTCTTGTTCTCCTTGTACGCATCCTGTGTTCTTGTAATTCAGAACCATGAAATCTTTTCTGGTGGTAATGTCAGGTCAGTACGTTTTTCACTTCAAGCTCAGCGAGGAAGTGATGGCAATTTCACATCCCAATGGCTAGAGCCCTCACATGGGATATAGGATACCGCAGTGCAGATCCTGTCTCGGCATGATTTGCTACAAGGATTTGAAAGATAAGTAAAAGGTGCCCCTAACCACTGGGGCAGGGGAGGCTGCTTGAATATGATTCTTGTACCTTCTTTCATTCTGCTTTCCAGAAAAAGGCTGAATAATTGCTGGAGCAAGAACTTCACTCGTGTCACCTAGATATGTGCTTATTACTTACAGAGTGGTTCTCACTCTCTCTGGCTTCCTAATGGGTGTTTGGATATGGTAGGTGAAGCACAGCAACTTCATACGAAAATTCAGATAGGGAGAGTCTAGAAATACTCATCAGAAAGTGACTGAAGAAATAATAAAAGAAATAGGCTTGTGGAAGGATTTTTGTTGTGTCAGCTGCGAATGTGATCCAAGAGGTTTTGAAGCAGAAGGAGAGAACTCCTGAGGAAGCACTTTGGAACATAAAAATCAATAGCAGGTTATCCCCCGCCCCCATCCCCAGGCAAAACACAAAATTAAGTACTTGCTTACAAAAGCAAGACCCAAAAAAACCTAGCAGCTTAAAGAATCATTAGAGGAGTTACAGGTAGGCCATGAATTGGAGTGATACTAGCTGCATTCATGACACTACTAGAATTGCATAGAATTAAATGAAACATACAGACATTTACAATTAAGACAAGATAAAATGTAGCCTCGTTTTGGATATAAACTACTTTGAGGTGATTGATGCATGGTGTAATTATAATGCTGACTAAAATAAAATGTAAATGATTATCTTTTCTTCTTTTTATAGTTCTAAAACAGACCCTGTTACTGGAGCTGTGAAAAATACCAAATATCATCAGCTTTAGTAAGCACTGCAAAAGTCACTTTGCTTGGTCACATAAGCCTGCAGTATAAGTGTGTGAGCACACACATGCATGTAATGTGTGTATGTGTGCATGCGCATGTGTATTTCTTTTTTTTTTTCCCCTAAAAAAGTTTCTCTTCACATGGAGTTGTTTGGGGATGAGGATGAATAGGAAGGGGATTTTTTTATCAGATTTTTCTTCTTCGCTTGCATGTAACTTCCCTAGTTTTACTACACATTTCTGAAATATTGAAATCTTTGACACTCCTCAGCTTGATTTATTTTTTGCAGGAAAGCACTGAACTGTGGGGCAGACACAATAAAAGTGACAGGGCACTCGTGGCATCTGTGTAATGGTTATCTTGTGTATTGTTCGCAGCGACTTGCTGGGTTTGGTTACTTACCTGGACTGGGTCATGATCATTGTTACTATATGCTCCTGCATCTCCATGATGTTCGAATCCCCCTTTCGAAGAGTTATGCATGCTCCAACGCTCCAGGTACTGTCACTGAATCGTTTTACATTTAATGAAGCACAGTCTTCTTGTTTTTCTCCACTGCCTGTTCCTAAATTATGACTGTTCTCTGCTTTGATTTTCAGATTGCTGAATATGTTTTTGTAATATTCATGAGCATTGAACTTAATCTGAAGATTATGGCAGATGGCTTGTTTTTTACACCAACAGCTGTCATCAGGGACTTTGGAGGAGTTATGGACATATTTATATATCTTGTAAGTTTTTATATTTATTGGGGGATTCTGTAGCGTTCTTAATTTTGCTATCTTTGGATATATAAATGTTTGGTAATGCTAAAATTTGGCTCTGCATCCTGGTGCAAATGCAGTAGTGTAATTTGTGTGCAAATATCATTGTTTTCATGTGCAGTCCAGTCAGTTATGTGTACAAATACTTGTTTAGACATCTAAAAATACACTGACATGTGATAAGCACATGGCAATTTAGTGAAGGGCCATTGTATGGCCCCTTTTGATTATTTATTTGTTGACATGTTGTAAGTATTAGGCCTGATTTCATTCCAAAGTAAGCTCAAGATCTCTGACCTTCCTTCAGCACTTTTATGCAGGAGAATCTTTATTTTATCTATTTCTTAGTCATTTTTCTCTTCCTCTCCTCTTGACAGTTCTCCTGCTTTATAGGAGGTGGTTCAAAAGCCTCTACCAGTTGACAGAAGGGCACGTCCTCATTGCTGGTGTTGCTATAGCAGAAAGAAAGCAAAGCAGCATCTTTCTATATTCCATACCTGTCAGTAGTGGTTCTCAGGAAAAAAATGCTCTACTGTTTTCTTTGTCCCCTGGAAATTTCTTGCATTCCATTCAAATATAAGAGAAAGGGGTCGATTTCCCCTTCATGTATGACAATAAACACCACAGAATGTGTCAAAACCAGTGCTCAGTATAATACAACATGAAAAATTTTCTAACTGAAGAAATTACTAAGAAAAATGGCTTTGATGGATTTAGATTAAATCTTTCAGATATTAGTTCACCAGACAGATGTGCTGCATAAAATTTGTCATGATCAATTTGTATCAAAGATTCCATTGTTAGCATAAATAAAAATATGCATACTTATACAAAACTCCTACTGTAGTATGCATAATCAGTATGTGCATTAGTTTCTTGAAATCCCCCTGAATCCCTCTGCTTGTCTGAAGGAAAATTTAGGTGGTGTAGCTAGGATATTCCATATGTGCCTGTGGTGATCTTAAAGGAATATGAACGTAAGTCAGAAGGACTGGCAGATCTTTTTGTTTTGGTGGAGCGACTGTCTTTTACCACTGTTGTTTTTAACAAATCGTATTATGTCTTTAATCATATTGGTGATATCAGCTTGATCCACCATTTTTTGTCCACTTACCTCTTTGTAACACTCTCACCTCTGTCCCCCTATTATCACGTTGACTTTATATATAGTTTATAAAAAATAAGGATTACAATCACTGACAATCTATCAGAGATAGTTGAGGCTACAAGACACAACCATGCTGTTTGAAAACACTTTCAAATGCATAATACTCATGTGGTAAAACCACACGGTGACAAAACTACTTATGGCTGTAACAAAGTGATTGGAAAAACTGTCAAGGAAACTGTTAACAGACTTTCCAGGTGAGGATTTCTCAGTTTCAGGATAGAATCTCTGTTTGAAATGAGAAGGGGGTAGAGAGATGATGTTGCCTGCTCCAAGAATATAGTTCGTGTCCCTGCTCTGAATCAGCCAATTTGATTTCTTCTTTTGGAACTGTTCCATCTGCTGAAAAGAATAGAATAGATTTTGAGTCAAAGGGGAAGACAGAGGCTGAAGCTGATGTCCATTAGTTAGGACAATCAGCCAGGGCACAGGAAATCCAAGTCCTTTCTAAATTAGGCTTTTTTTGCCTTAATCTTCCCTTTAATATTAAGGAATAGAAGTGTTTATTGATCTTCCGTGCTGTGTCTGTGTCAAGTAAAACACTGAAAGTGTAATCCTTCTTTGCAATTTTCTGCCCTGTGTCCTCAAGGTGAGTTTGATATTCCTGTGCTGGATGCCTCAGAATGTCCCTGCCAAGTCTGGAGCTCAGCTCTTAATGGTACTCCGCTGCCTCCGACCTCTTCGGATTTTCAAACTGGTCCCCCAGATGAGGAAAGTGGTGCGAGAGCTGTTTAGTGGCTTTAAGGAAATCTTTTTGGTATGTGCCAGTTATTTTGTTCTTGTTGTTAATAAGAAGATACAGAGGAGTGATAAGATACCACTGTGCTGTAATGTTTATGTTCTCTAATCTTTTCTCCATTCTTGTCTGTTTACTTTTCATTGTAGCTACCACTGCAGATGACCACAAAACAGGTTAAAAATTAGGTATATCAGTAACTCATGTACATTTATATTGAATAAAGCTGCTGTAATAGTTCTTTTATAAATTATATTATTCATTCAGCATGTATTTGGCCATAATTACACAGGAGGACTACCGAAATAAAATCTACCCCTTATTCATACTTCTAGTTGGGGAGGGAAGATGTGAAGTAGGGTAGGGCAGCTCTGCAAGAACAAAAGTAAACCTGATTTCCACGCTGAAGGTCTTTACCTCCAAGTTTTTTGAGAGGCAACCAGAGACAAGTGGAAGAAAGAAAGTTATCAGGAGTAGTCAGCATGGATTCACCAAGGCGAAATCATGCCTGACCAATCTAATAGCTTTCTACGATGACATGACTGGCTGGGTAGACGAAGGGAGAGCCGTAGATGTTGTCTACCTGGACTTCAGCAAGGCTTTCGACACAGTCTCCCATGATATCCTCCTAGGGAAGCTCAGGAAGTGTGGGCTGGATGAGTGGTCGGTGAAGTGGATAGAGAACTGGCTGAATGGCAGAACTCAGAGGGTTGTCATCAGCGGCTCTGAGTCTAGTTGGAGGCTGGTAACAAGTGGTGTCCCCCAGGGGTCAGTACTGGGCCCAGTCTTGTTTAACTTCTTCATCAACGACCTGGATGAAGAGTTAGAATGTACCCTCAGCAAGTTTGCTGACGACACCAAACGGGGAGGTGTGGTAGATACACCAGAAGGCTGTGCTGCCATTCAGCGTGACCTGGATAGGCTGGAAAGCTGGGCAGAGAGGAACCTGATGAGGTTCAACAAGGGCAAGTGCAGGGTCCTGCACCTGGGGAGGAACAACCTCATGCACCAGTACAGGCTTGGGGTGGACCTGCTGGAGAGCAGAGAGGGACCTGGGTGTCCTGGTGGACGACAGGTTAACCATGAGCCAGCAGTGTGCCCTGGCTGCCAAGAAAGCCAATGGGATCCTGGGGTGCATCAAGAAGAGTGTGGCCAGCAGGACAAGGGAGGTTCTCCTTCCCCTCTACACTACCCTGGTGAGGCCTCATCTGGAGTACTGTGTCCAGTTCTGGGCTCCCCAGTTCAAGAAGGATGAAGAGCTACTGGAGAGAGTCCAGCGGAGGGCTACAAGGATGGTGAGGGGACTGGAGCATCTCCACTACGAGGAGAGGTTGAGGGAACTGGGCTTGTTCAGCCTGAAGAAGAGAAGGCTGCGAGGGGACCTTATAAATGCCTACAAATATCTGAAGGGTGGGTGTCAGGAGGATGGGGCCAAGCTCTTTTCAGTGGTGCCCAGTGACAGGACAAGGGGCAATGGGCACAAACTGAGGCACAGGAAGTTCCGTCTGAACATGAGGAAGAACTTCTTCCCTCTGAGGGTGACGGAGCACTGTAACAGGCTGCACAGGGAGGTTGTGGAGTGTCCTTCTCTGGAGATATTCAAGACCCTCCTGGACAAAGTCCTGTGCAGCCTGCTGTAGGTGACCCTGCTTCAGCAGAAGGGTTGGACTAGATGACCCACAGAGATCCCTTCCAACCCCTACTATTCTGTGATTCTGTGACAATGCGGTTGTTGATCACAGATCTGGATGTCGTTGTTATGTCATTGTTGTTATTATTACAGTCATGATTATACACTTCCAATGATAATAACAGTAATGAAGTCTGTGATTGCTTGATCAGAACCTAATTTATTGTCTTGGGACCCTATGTGATGTTTGTCAGCCTAAGCAACAGAAATTTTGTTCCTTAGTAGAATGCTGTATTAGCTCAGGTTGTCATAAAAGGTTAGCTACAAAAATATTTGCAGACAGTAATAGAGCAAGGATAACAAGTATAAATCTAGTTAGCATTTCATAGATACTGTATTCTATTACATATATTTACATCATAATTTGCTCTGGCATATCTTTATTGTAGCTATCCTGGATTTAAATATCGAATAATGGCTTACTCAGATTAATTAGTAAAGCCTGACTCAGCGAAACAGAAGCAGCACATATTTAAGTACTTCAGGAGTTCTCTTTAAAGTGAATGGCAATTCATATGTATACAGAATTTAGCAAGGTTGTACACTGTGTGCAGGAGAGCTTTGATCCTTGTCTACAATTCTTAGATGCTATGTTAATAATAATATCAATAATAACACAACTCCTGGTTACTGGATCAGAAGCTAAAGTAACAGATCTGTCATGAAAGCTGTATGTCCAAGTTTGTGAAATTAAACAATCCTCCCTGCAGTTTGCAGAAGGATCTGACTCCCTTTTTCAAGTCTGCAGGTGGAGAGCTTGACAAGTCTAACTTTATCTTTACAGGTTTCTATTCTTTTGCTGACATTAATGCTTGTTTTTGCAAGCTTTGGAGTGCAGCTATTTGCTGGAAAACTGGCTAAATGCAATGATCCACACATCATCTCTAGGGTAAGAACTGGTTTTCTGCTGCAAAATAGTAGTATGCTGTGATATTTCTACTTGCTGGGGAAAGCAAGTGGGGCAATCAGAGCTATCATATGAGAGCTGGAGATCTTGGGCACTTTCTTGTTCAGAAGAGGGTTGGTGGAGGGAAAGGTGATAAAGGAGTGAATGAGGGTAAGGCTGGGTTTTCATGTGCAAAAGTAAAGCAAATCCAAACATTGGGGACTTTCTGAAAAAGTGGTCAAATTCATGCCATATTATCTGCAAAGGACTGGATGTCGTATGGAATTAACCGTGGAAAATGACACCTTTGCATTCCTAGGTCAGCAGCTAACAATCGGGTTAGGCTGCTAGAGGTCAGAAGCGCTGGGGTTGCTGTGTAGGTTACGTGGAGAAAGTTAACCATGTTTCTTCTCCATTTGGAGAAATATCAGCATCACCTAAAGAGCAATGGTCTTTAGCAAAGACGTGAAAGGCTAGATAGTCTTGTAAAATGAACGACACTCTCAGTCCTGGAAGGAGAAGGGTTTTTTGAATCCTTCCTAAAATGCATTTTTCATTTGCGTGTAGGTCCATGACTGTTAATCCCAGACCTGTAAATAACCCTTCATTTCTGTTTACATTGCTTCACCATCATGGCAAGAGTGCTGTCCATACTGGTATTTTCACATCTCTCACAGGCCATTATTTAATCTCAGGCTGTGGTTTATTTCACTGTAGGAAGATTGTCATGGCATCTTCAGAATAAATGTAAGTGTTTCCAAAAATCTCAATTTAAAGTTAAGACCTGGAGAGAAAAAGCCTGGATTTTGGGTGCCGCGAGTCTGGTGAGTTGCTATACATTGGTCTGTGTTTCTTCAAAAACAGCTGTTGATGTAGAAAATGGCTCACATTTCACGGCATTAAACTACTGATGGAGCGTTTTTATTGTAAGTCAAATGATATTAAGGGTAAAAATTCTGGTATATTTAGTAAAAAGCCAGATATATGAAATTTTTCCAGACTCAACCTGTGCTTCTATTCATGAAGCAGAAAAGAAAAAAATACCCGTAGGTACTGAACCTAGATAGGGATTAGATGTGATTGTTATTACAGTGGGAGTTTTTGTCTTGAGCCAAGATTATCACTTAATTCTTCTTTAGTACTATTATGATGAGATCCTGCGAGCCATACATCAACAACAGAACCTAAGAGTAAATAGGAAAGGATGGGAAGAAAAAGAAATGGAAATTAACCTGCCTACACCCACCCATAAAAAAAAATGAGCAAGTCATGCCTAAACCCAGCCTCTCTCTTCTATGGCCATCAAACATGCCAGCTAGCAGCTTCTTTCTCTTTCCAGTGCAGGGAATCCTTGTGGTCTATCTGGTGCAGTAGTGGAGTAAAAATTATTTAGGAGATAATATTATGTCTGTGATTAGTGTTCTGATAAAGCCCAATTAATATTTCCCAACACCTGAACAGGTAAAAAACTCTCTTTTTAATTGTTTACGTTTGTGAGTTGGTGGCATTTTGCAAAATCAGCTTAACAGCCACAATTATTTTAATTGACTATGTGCGCAGATAAAGAATGTACCAGCAGTGGTAGATTCAGAGCCATCCTACCCTAATGAAATAGTATGCTGTGATTTGAACAGTCAGTGAAACTCTGATATCTGCAGAAGTCTCTGTTTCTGTATGCTTCAGACAAATTCTTCCTGGAGTAAGCAAATTCAGTCCTCTTCAGCTTGACCCAGAAATAAGCAAAAACTATCTTAATCAGCATAACTGTAAACTATGGGGAATGTTTTGTTATTGCAGAAGAATGTTTTACTGCAAGGACGTTTTTACCACCTGTTGGCTGTGTCAGGCCAGATTTTCAAGAGCCAGGTGTCAGTAGAAGGACCGCATTTAAAAGAAATGCCTGCATCTGAGAGCTCTCTTTTTCGCTGAATGGTTGGATTTTCAGAAGGCACCAAACACTTCATAATTCTTCAGGAATACAACTATTTACTTTATAAATTGTTGAAAATTAACTGGGCTCCTTAGATTATCTCTCTTGGATTGTAGAGACAGAGCAATGTGCTAACCTAGCCCAAAGAGGGTACTTCCAATGTTCAGATGGAAACATCCTCTTGAATCTCAACTGATACAAAAGGTCAGAACATATGGTATAGGAAAGCCAAGAAGATGTGATGACCTCTCAGTAAGTTTTGCTTTAGACCATCAGTTCCCCATAATAATGAAACAAGGAACAGCATTTTCTAGAAGATCTCACTGACTTTGGAGTCTGAATCATTTAGATGGTTTTGAGACTGATCTCCTTCAGGTAAATTTATTTTAGACTCTGGCTGATGCCATCAGATCAATTTTTCCATGAACGCTATATTTTGCTAATTTCATTGACAAAAATGCTAAAAATAAGATTCTGAGTAAGAAAATAAAACATACATAGAGATCAAAAAAAAATTATGCTGTACATATTTATTGCTATTGCTATTGTTTTATTCTTGAGACTGAATGATATATTTCGGAAGCTTTCAGACCAAGTTTGCAAGGTATTTGTGTGTTAGTTAGACTATGAAGAATCAAGGTAACAATTAGAAAGAACAACTTTATTGCTGAAGTTACACCTATTTGTGTACTGCATTTCAGGGCAAATCCTCGGAATTTTAATTTTGACAATGTGGGGAACGCAATGCTGGCACTATTCGAAGTTCTTTCATTAAAAGGCTGGGTGGAAGTCAGAGATGTTATTATTCATCGCGTTGGGCCGGTAAGGAAACACATCAGAGTCCTTGAATTGTACAACACTTACTTTGATTTGTTTTAACTATTAATCTTATTTTTGTCTATTCAGATCCATGGAATCTACATTCATGTTTTTGTATTTCTTGGCTGCATGATTGGACTGACCCTTTTCGTTGGAGTTGTCATTGCGAATTTCAATGAAAACAAGGTACTGAGTGAGGTGGTTTATTGTGTGTAGAAATGGCTCTGTAAGAAACCTGAAACTGATACTCCACTGTCTACGTTACCTGGTAAGGCTACCTGTAAGACTGACTTACCAATCTTACATTCTGCAAGCCTGCAAGTATGGCTTCAGACACACCTGATCCATATTTGCTACAAAACTCAAGCCTGGGGTGACAGCAATCCATCACACACTCTT